AAGTCGAGCAGTCTTGACGTGGGTTTGCTTTTTTTCTTGTGGTAATATTGGTTACATTGCTAGCATCCTGAACCTTCTTATTATTCTTCATGCATTATTATTCAATAGTTCAGTTATAGTTAATTTTAAGTTGTAAATATTTATGTACTTATCTTCAACAGTAGGTCTGACTGAGTCTACTTAACGTGGTACTTTACTTACACGATAGATCCAAAGTATCCAATAAATTAAAATAAATGCTATGACTTTGACTCGGCAGTCGCACTTGCGACCACTCGGCCAACGAGGCAGTGAAAGGAAAAATATTACTGGGTTTAAAAAAAACCTTCGAGGATAAAAAGCGTGGTCTTATATTACGTTATTATCTTAATTCGTAAGATGTATCTTGTGTTATAGGAATTTCTTAATTACCTACTATTTACGAGTATTTATACAGAGCGGTACAAAACCCAATGACACTATAATATACAATTAAAAGAAAAACTACAAAATTTAAACACTAAACCACTATCAGTTTATAGCAAATAAATATCTTTGTAAATTATTTTCAAAAACTTAACAGAATTATGATAATGTAAACAACACCATGTAATACATATGAATATGTTGTTAACATGTCCCCTAAAATAACACACAAACATAGTAACAGACCACACAGAGCACAAGTAGAGGTAGTTTATAATATGCCACAGAGCTTCAATCATTCCTGACAACGATGGGAATCAGCAGGGAGGTCCTCTGTTAACGGAAACTGCGCACTTTGCTTGATTTACAATGGTTTTATCATGTTTTAATGTAATTTCCTCTCTCCAGTCATCATGCTGTGTCGTAAAATATTATTGAGTAGTTTATTTTGTTGCTGTATGTATTAATTTTGTTTATTTCTATGTCTCACTGAAAACTATCTGCCCACAAAAGAGTCTCAGATTTTATTTCTGATTGTTGGAATTGTCAGGTTATGAATATGTCATAATTAAAGACGAGTTTGGACTCACTGTACAATGTTAATTTTGATTAGTTATTAGAGTGCATGAAATACGAGTCTTGCATCAAAAAAATAAATCACAGAGATTACTGAATACTAAAAGTAGGTATACCAAACCTACATGGTACTTTCCATCCTGAAACCACCTACTTATTTAGATATAGGTGTAAGCCATATTAAAGTAAAAGCGTATTTATTTTTACGATTTGCTTTTAGCATTTCTATATAACAATAAGCAAAGATATTATTAAACTTGAACTCTATAGACTACCATACATAGGCACCAAAATACTCAGATACTTTAGTTCGTACTCATTTGTCGGTTAGTATAAAACACTTTGTTTTAACTCGTTCGCCCCACAGTTGGACCATTTCGTGGTCTAACTCTAGTATTTATGTAAAATAATAAAGTTCCCTACCTCGCCTCCTTTTTACATAATAGCTAGGTAAACGTTCATGAGCTGGTATAAAATGTTTTTACATTGAAAATTGGTGTTTGTATTAAACTGAACTTTAGTTAACACTCAGGAGTTATACGATGAGTTAGTTTGTTGTTTTGGGATTAGCGGAAAACTATGAAGGGATAAGCAGTGCACGTTTGCCAATGTCCCATGTAACATTGGGTGAACTTAGTGCCATATACTGCACTGGACACAATTCCAGACTCTGTGCAATTCAGAATTTTCTACAAACTGAACATCGATTGAACTGAACATCGATTATATGTCGATCAGATAGATAGTCTATACTTTTGTCAAGCTATTATATCGACTAACTGACTTGAATAACTCATTAGATGACATTTATTCCAAGTCGTGCTTATAACCACTCGACCAGCGAGGTAAGCCAATGAAAGAATTAATTAAACATTAATATTAGTTTAATTAGACATAATAAGTTGTAAATAAAAAAAATATACATAAAAACTGTACAGCTGCCTTGTTTCCTAGTCTAATGCTATTTGAATTAGAAGTAAGTTGAGATGTTTTCTATTTTAATGTATAAAAATAGTATTTTCTTATCATTAGTTTCGCATTAGATGTTCACCTGCAATAGTATTTATTTTGCATTTATAATTACTTCAATTTAAAAACAACTTCGTATTTTTATAAATTTAATTACTAGGATTTCCAAGCTTTGCCTTTTTACTCTTTTCTCAATAAAGTGCTGTAATAGATAGTAATAAAAAAATGAGGTGAAACATTAAAATATATCTAACTAGCGACCCGCTCCGGCTTCAATATTCATGTATTATACATATAAACCTTCCAAGAATCACTCTATCTATATATTATAAAAACCGCATCAAAATGTGTTGCGTAGTTTAAAGATCTAAGTATACATAGGGACAGACAGACAGCAGATAGCGACTTTGTTTTATGTTATGTAGTGATTATCATTTTTAATCTAAAATGTGGAAATGAAAACGATAAAAGATCGAGTTGCATTTTTTGAAGTATAATCACGATTAAACTAAGATTAAAGTCAGTTGAAATACAAATATACCATAACAAAAGAGCTCCCATATTCAGTTCGTGTTAAAATAACGTTAACATAACATCACAGCTTTTATCCCCGAAGGGGTAGGCAGAGGTGCACATTATGCCACTGTACAATTTAACACCCACTTTTCATTATTTATGTTATGAGTCCCATGTAATAGGGGTGAGCCTATTGCCATATATCGGGCACAATTCCAGACTGCGTGCTACTACTGACATTTTTTTTAAAAACCTAGTAATACTTTCCCCTGTCCGGTCCCTAGACACCTTGCCCGGCAGTCGCACTTGCGACCACTCTTCCAACGAGGCAGTCGTGTTAAAATATTTTGAACATAATGCTTTTTTGACATTTCACAAAGCTCAAAAGACTCGTCGCCAAAGGACAGTACTATCTCGAAGAATTTAACGAAAAAAAAGTAATGATTGACGGGATAATCGTGCCGGATTCCACTCACAATGCCTCAATTTAAGATTCTCTTTCATAAATATAAACCGTTACAATTTTTGTGGAATTTTAAACGAAACCGCACAGAGTTTCGAACGATTTTTTTCGTGGACAAAAAAAAACTGTAAAATTTGCATGAATTACGTAATTTATATCTTTTTCGCGTTCATTGTCATTCGGCTGTTGTACGAATTTAACAATCACAGCCTTTTGGTATGAAGAATTTCTTTGCGCATTTTTTAGGCTAAAATTGAGAGCTGTACTTAACATTTTTGGCAATTTTCGAATACATTTTGTGCTCGAATGTTGTTCAAATTACAGGGAATGTGGAGCCTTATGATACATATATTTTAGGCCTTTGAACCTTGTATGAATAAATAAGTTATATAGGTAACAAAATTGTAAAAAATATCAATTTTC